CAGAGACACTTTGCCCCTGTCGGCCTCCCTCAATAGATCATCACACAGGGCGACCAATGCCGTTTCTGTTCCATGGCGCGGCCTGAAGCCCGACTGGAATGGATCCAGGGCATCTGTTTCATCCAGGAATGCCTGAAGCTGATCGGCCACCACCCTCTCGACTACCTTGCTTAAGAAAGAAACATTGGCGACGGGCCTATAGTTGCCAATTTCATCCGCCGCCAAACTAGGTTTCTTTCTTATGGGCCTAATGAGTGTATCCTTGAGGGCAGAAGGAAATCTGCTACCTACTCTACTTGAGAAGTTGAGCAAGCAACATATGACAAACCCACTTTATCTGCATGTGTTGTATGGTAAAACCGGTAGGCTTGGGAAGTGGTATCAGCTGAGATTTCTGTCATTTGTTGTAACTGTGGAGTAGGCTAAGAAATAAGGGGATAGACTCTAACTTCTGCAAAGCAGAACACAAATGAGAGTTTGAAGAAGCAATATGTGTTATGGATTCCTGGATATGGTGGTGTTCATAGAGATTAGGTCCTTGAAACTTCCCTTCAAATGCTAACCATTAGAGGGTCATTGTTCATATTCTGTATCACAGGCTTTTGTTTGTTTGCATGAATGGTATGCTTCTTTCACCAAACTTATAATAGAAAACTGGAAGTATACCAGTGGCTGTACTTGACATTGAGCCATGGATTCACAGCAGTGCAACCCCATTATTCATTTTGGTACTGGCTAATGAACGCAAAGACTGTATCGACTACATGTCCTACTTCTGATGAATTTTCCTTTGTGTTCTGTTACTCATGGCCACTGTCACTCATTTCCTTCCTTTTCAGACAATATCATTGTGTAGTCTAGGTATCAGATTTGATCCATCCTTCAGCTGTCACTAACTTGGCTGAGGAGCAAATATATTTTCTGTGCTGTTGTAAGGAAATAAAAAAAGTTGGCCAAATCATTCTGTACATGTGCAGAAAAAATGTTTAACTCAGAACTGATAGTGGACTGAATATTTTAACTGGGTTTTAAGACTGTATCTATTCAAATCATTCTGTACATGTGCAGAAAAAATCTTTAACTCAGAACTGATAGTAGACTCAATATTTTAACTGGGTTTTAAGACTATCTATTTTTAACACACACACACACACACATTTGTGTATGTATGTGTGTGTATGTATGTGTGCTTCTCTCTCTCTCTCTGCGCGCGCACACATTTGTGTATGTATGTGTGTGTATGTGTGCTTCTCTCTCTCTCTCCGTGTGTGTGTGTGTGTGTCTGTCTTTGTGCGTGTGTATGCTCTTGTGACAGTTCAGAGGAACATCATGTAATGTTCTTTGGACCTTTTAAAAGCACAGTATCTTATTTTAACATTTTAAAATTAATATATATTTTAATTTGTATAATCCAGGTGCTTATATTTTAAAGATGTTTCCTTTTTATACATCTGGAGGAAAATGTATACATGGAAGTAATAAAAGATGTATAATCCAGATATAGTAATCAAAGAATCAGGATTGGCTGCATTTATTGGCTGAGTTGGAAAATTCAGTGTTGCTTGATAAGTAAGGACTTGCATTATGAGAGTAGGTCCACTTTTATAAAGTAGCTTTTCCCCATCCTTTCTTCCTTACCAGTACCCCTCATGGTGACTCCACAAACCTCTGCAATGGACCAGTGGATCTTCAGAGATAGCCCAGGGAGGAGCAGTGGGAGAGACACGCATGTCAAATGAGGCAGAGGCAGCTTGTTTGATTAACCACCCAGAACCTGTCTCCCCTTGCCCACTGTTTTCCTGGCTCTTTTGGAAGGAGCAGTACCAAAAGGTAGGCGGAGGGGAAGCCTGTGTTTGCAGAAGGAACTTCTACGCTTAAGCAAGAGGGCATCTGGACATTTTCCGTCTTAATTATTATTTTTCTTCTTGTTGTTTAATTTTGGCATATGGTTGAGTACTCTTCATGTTTTATGGAAAACATGAAATAGTACCCTATAAAATGTACAAGTAGATACAGATACGTGGGAAGACAGACAAATTATTCTTCAAGTGTTTAATACTAAGTATAAAAACAAGAGCTGTGCATACAGATGGCATCTGTGTTCCTGCTGAACACCTAAACACAATTATGTCTGTCAGTGGTTTAATTCAGACATCACATTTCTTATTATTGATGCGTTTATAACTGGGAACATGTTGAATATTATCATGATTTCTCATCTATTGAGAACAAATTCCTTTCTCCCATGAGGTGTGATTATCATAGGTTGTCATGATATCTGACTACCACAAAACAGTTCTAAACTGTAATTTGAAATCCAGTGTTTCACCCTTGGTTTCCAGTGCACTTCAGTGCTAAATTTGAAAGTGCTAGTCTGAGATCTTCACTGCATGACTCCATGTACCTCCACATATACTGTACCTGTTCCTATATTGAAATAGTTAAATGATGGCTATGTCTTTGCTATCAGAGCTATGGCAGGAAATTGTGAGGAAGGTGTTCCTTGGTAATGATACCTTCATAATGGAGCATTCATTCTTCCTAGGGAGTTCAGGCAGCTACTTTGATAGCATGTTGATACTAGCAAAAGGGGATATGCTTTGAATTAGAAAACTCACTGTGTTTCATTTTTAGTAAACATGCATAAAATGGCACCGTTACATTCTTATCAGAAAATCAAAGCATTTGCTTACAGTTAAACAAATGACCTTCGTTTTCTGTTCTTTATGTAAACCATTGAGCTAAATTTAAATCATTACAAATTCAGGGTTTTTTTCTTCCATTCTAATTTATTCCTCCAAGTTTGCCGGTAATATTTCTTTGAACAAGACATATATGGAGATTTAGGGAGGAGAAGGATGTAACAGATCCTTCTAGCTTTTGCTCTTCAGAAAACAACAGTAGGCACTTGTGCATAGGTAACTAAGTATTTTCATAGTCGTTGGTGGACATTCGCATAGCACACATACATCAGTTGTAGAACATTACATCATCTTCCTTTAAAGCTACTTTGGATCCTTTCAAGGAGAAAGGCAGGTCAAAAATAAATAAATAAATAAAGCAAGCAAGCCTGGAGGCATTTGGCTTGACAACCTGAAGTTTTCTTATATTCTTGATTATGATAGTAGGACAGATTCATGAGTGAGAGTAAGGTGTGTTAGGGATGCACAAAATTAGTTTAAGTCCACCCTATATACATTTCAGATGTCTACGTTCATTAGTGCAGACCATCCTATTTCTGCATCAACCTGCATTTCAAAATAAAATACTTTATGGAAGTTCTCATTTAAGTACTTAGTTATTTATATAAACTTATTTGTAATTATTTAGTACCGAAACACATAGGCCATAATCTTACTCGTGTTTGTGTAAGGTTTGTGTAACTTCACATGGCTAATTGCAGCCAATTGATGATGTCTCATGGTGCATCATGGTTTCCAAATAAGGCACATAACCAGACATTTGATCAAGATGTGCCCCCAACTGTTCAATTAGTTGCAATTAGCCATGGCAAATTGTACAAGTACCAGTAACATTTTCATCAGGTGTGTGTGTGTGTGTGTGTTTGTAGAATTTTTAATATAAAATAGATCATAACATAAATAATAGTGTATCCCCTCTGTATTTTTTGTTGCATGCACTTAATTCAGACATGGAAGGAAAAAAGATTACATTAGATTTTTTGAGGTGTCCAACAAAGTGACAGAGAATGCTATCTTACATAAACAGATTCTTATATGTGAAGCTCACAGCCAGCACCTGGTTGGGTTAAGAAACCTATCTTTGAATTTTTGTGGAATATGGTCTTGATAGCCCTTTCCTGCGAACTACCATATCCTGCAGCAGCAGTTAACTGATGCATTAGGATGCAGCCAAGTTAATTTCATATAGCTAGTTCTGATAACAGGATTCCTCTGTTTCACATATCTAAGATGCTAAATGAGTCACTAAATGTTATTATGCTCATGTTGCTTGTAGATAAGCAGGTGCCCTCAGGAAAGTGTCACTGAGTGGTGTTTATACAATATTATGGATATTAATTTATGTGTAAGCAAGATAATGAGAGAGCAAAGGTCAAGGACAGCAAAAATTTCCGTTCAAACAAAACCAGGCTGTTTATCTAATGTTCATAACACAATCTCAGTGTCAAGATTTGTAGCAGGAATAGAGCCTCCCAATGACCTTAAAATGTGTTCCATGACATGCTTTCATTTGTGTGTTTGTTAAAAATTAAGATACAAATACCCCTGTTAATAATAAATGTAGCCTTAGAAATGCAAGAGCTTTGTAAGTTTTAAGAAGAAGACTGAACGCTACAATAACAGATAAATTTATGTTCCAGTCTGGCTCATCATGGCAGTACAGATGGTGCAGATGATCTTCATGGAAAGTCCTAGCTTCAGTTATGCTCTGCAGTGTGCTAATATTGAGGCTGAGCATTGTTCTGGGCTGTGCCAAGTAACAGTTTTGCTTTGCCAGCAAATACCTTTGTAAAATGAATGCTGCTAATGAATAGTACAACATTTTGTGAAGGTTAAAAAGTGTTTAATAAGGAGATTAAAATTAAGTTACAGTGAATAGAATGCAAAAAATAATTATTATATAGGATTAAAAGAAAGCCTACAAAAGTTGTCTGCCATCATAATTTAATAGGTCTCTATTCTGGGTCCAATCTTAAGTGCTAGTCATGACCTTTAAATGCTTTTGCTAAACTTTTCCAACATTGAGTTTCCAGGTATTGTTGGGCTAAATATCCCATTATCTTTCATTTCTAAGGTCATTCATCTGCTTAGAGGGAGTTGTAGCTGTTATGGGGATGCATACCTCAGAGCTGCATTGGATTCAGTCACATGAGAAACTGCTGTTGGGGGGGGCAAGAATTGAACCCACATGCCACCCCCAGTTATACTAGAGTTTGTGGGGGGGTCAGTATCTTATCAGGTGCTGGGGCAAAAGGGTGGCACTAATCCTTGACATTTCCCATCCCTTTAAAAGATAGTTTTCATCAATTTTTAGAAAGGAAAAAACTGATAAAACTTCAATTTCGTGGTTTTTCGAAAGGAAAAAAGAAACTGATGAAAAAGTAGTTTCATGAGTCCCCCCTTCCAATTTCTTTGTCTGTGTTGGAAACACAGCTTTCTCACCAAGAGTATGCCAGAGAGAGCGTTAGCCAAAACTTGCTTTCTTTTTCCCCATCTGCTATTGTTTGTTTGTTTGTTTGTTTGAATACATATATGTCAAGAGAGTCTTTAGGTCCACCCCTTAAAATACGAATGGGAAACTTGTTATTGCTGGTCTGGCAGTTTTATGGCCCCTCACATGTTGCTGTGTTAAGGAACGATGGTGCCCAACAGCATCAGGACATCCACAAACTGCCCATCCCTGACGTGAAAAATGTGCAGCCATGCAAGCCTACATCTTCTTCATGGGAAAGAGAAGTCCCTTTGAAACTTAACAATGCTTAGACTCCAGCACTATGGTTAACTAGGAGTAAGAGCCATTGGGACTCCTAAAGATCTTAAAGGAGCTGGATGATTACTATGAAAAACAGGAGAGTAATGCTGTACAAAAGAGGAGGTTGTTGCACTATATGCAGAGAGCATTGATCTGGAGTCAGGAACTGGGTGGTTCTGATTCAGATTGTTAGCCAAATGGTAAAACTTGTTGAAAACAAAAACAGGAACTTGATATCCATAGAGAACTGTTTGAAACTTGCCAAGAGGCTAATAACCCTACTGGAAACAGTGGCAAAGCTAACCAAGATAAATCAAAGAATGAGACAATCACTCAGGCTGAGAAGTCAAATAACAAACAGTCAAGGCGGCAAAGAAATAAGGAAAATTGAAAGAATGCTTCTAATAATCATAATCATGATGATATCACCTCAGGAACTCAAAAGGAGAAGAAAGAAATATCCAAGAAAAAGAAGAGGTCTAAAGCAAAAGCAGAAAGGGAAGCTTCCCCAGCAGATCTTCCCATTGATCCTAATAAACCAACCTACTATCTTTGTAATCAGGTTTCCTAGGGGGAAAAGATAGGCTGTGATAATGATGAGTGGCCAATCAAATGGTTTCACTTCTCTTGTGTTTGACTCAGTCATAAATCCAAAGGCCAGTGGTGCTGTCCGAAATGAAGGGGAGAAAATGAGAAAACTATGGACAAAGCACAGAAGAAATCTAAAAAAATAAAGGGCTTACAATAGGTAGCTTCTCAGACAGAGAAGAAGATATCAGGAGACAGCTACATAGTTGTCTTGTGTGCTCCCAGAGGGATCTGGTGGGGCCACTGTGAGATACAGGAAGCTGGATTAGATGGGCCCTTGGCCTGATCCAGCAGGGCTCTTCTTATGTTCATTTGTTCCTAAGGCTGTTAAAATATATTTATTTATTCTCTGTCTCACTCTTTTTTGAGGTGTCAGGATTATAAAATGTATATTTTTAAAGAAAGTTATAAATCAAACCATTCTTGTAGCTGGGATGGTAATACAGTATGATACAGTAATTGTTTTTCCTTTGATACAGCTGTTAACAAGAAAATGGTCTGTGGATCAAAACACTCAGCAAAGTAATAAAAATTAATATGTAACTTTTGGATTTATACAAAAATGTATTTCTACAAGTTGGTAAGAAATCAGCCAATTAAAATGTAGATGGTAAAGATGTCTTAGATTGCATTCCATTTTTCTTTATGATGGAATGCTGTTTATCTTTAAAAAAAAAAGTTCTGTAGTCTGAAGAAAGTCACAGTACTTTGCAAATGTATCCTAAGGATGTTGATCACAGTCCAAAAAAGAGTGTAGCTCGCTGCTTATGCCTGTTGATTTCACTGGG